TATTTTGATTATGTAATTTTTATTAATTTTGGTCACTCTAGCCAAATTGTCGGTCAAATTTTGTCGAAAAAACTTAATTCATAAATTAGTGTTTAATCTGAGGGGCAAATTCGTCTTTTGAATTGTAGTCCGAATTAAGCAAAATCAATTTCTAACTCGATTTTTTGGTGAAATTTGACAGGTTATTTGGTCGGAGTGACCAGAATTGATAAACATTGCATAGTCAAAGTACTAAATTGATGCTTTTAAAAATCGTGAACTGCAATTAACAAGATCCCTATAGTCACAGAACCAAAATTAAAATTTACTATGATATATGACAGACGAAAAGTTTTGAGCAAGTGGGGGCTAGCAGTGGATCACATGACATTTCCTAGCTAGATGATGAAGTCCAGGTATATTTCACTCTCACCATGCGTATGTACTATGTAGCATGCACGCAGATGATGCCTGTGACCTTGAATATGTCCGTGTCTACGACACATGCATATATAGACATGCATGCGTATAATCTCATTTAGATACCAAATGTTATATCTAAATATAATTTAATGATAGATAATATAGGCACTCGTACGTAGCCCGTTTATACTAAGAAACATAGGCTATAAAGTCTTGACTTGTTAGATCAAGTGCTTATCATTTCTCACAACTAAGCCAAGGCCCAATTATATTTCCTTATATATCGCCACTATATTTTAGAGTGTTTCATCAACCTCCTCCCAACAATCCTCTAACCAACAAGTGTTAGACTCAGGGACGGAGTTAGGAATTTTGTTGAGAGGGGATGAAGAAGCAGGGACGGATCCATCAATTTTTTCGAGTGAAGGCGAAACATTAAAACAAAAGAGATAATTTTTTAAAAAAATTACCCAAAAAATATAGGTATAAATATTGTTAGATATGGACGAAAAATAAAACACATCAAAATTTTATTAAAAATATTCATAACAAAATATGAAACATAATTAATTTGATAAAATAATTTGAATAGAGAACAGATTATAAATTACACATCTCATTTTTAATATAAAAAAATGTTATATATATGTGTGTATTTTATTAAATATTAAAAAAGCTATTAACAATGTGATTGTGTTGAAGTCAAGAGAAAACTATAAAATTATGTTAATGTCAACCAAAAAATATTCAAACTCTGGACCTTCACCATAACTAAATATATGCTCTGTCAACTAATTTATCTCACTTCTTGTTAATATTTATTTATTTTTTGGTGATGGGGTGTGGGCTGCCCCCTCCTTCCTTCGGCTCCGTTCATGGTTGGACTTGAACCTTTATGGCCTCTGCCCAACCTACACGTAGTCCATCATATCAGATCAGTCTTGGATAGTTTATAGTGTAGACTGTAGAGTATTATTAATTCCTTTAAGCCTGAGATTAGGATTCCAATTTGCCTTTTACCGTTGAGAATTATTGCAACTTGCAAGTGATATAATTAATGACCAACGAACATAATGCCCTCAACCTAAAAGTCCCAATAAAGTCACAGGCTTACTGTGTTAACTGTGTACTATGCCCTCGCTCGCTCCAATCTGCCTGAGAAAAACGTGATTTCTGAGGGGAATTGAAATAGGTTCAATTTGACCACTTTTCTAAAACTTTTGGTATAAATAAAGGCTTGCGTGCGAATGTTTGACATCAAAAAAGGAAAAAACACAGTAGTTTTGAGTTGGTTTTTACAACTAACATAACAATAGTAGCAGATTATTAATTATTTGCATTCCTTTCAAAAAAAAAATTATTTGCATTATTTTTAATTAATTAATATGGAGCTAGCTAGCATGACGTTAGTATCAATTGAAGCTTTGGCAATGGCGAGTGCAGATTATCAGGTCATTTAACCTTTTGTATGTCGTCAGTGATAAAATTGCAAATTTGACATCTATAGAGAGCAAAATTAAGCAGCGGACTCTTTGGCAAAAATGTTCTTAATGCAGGACGGAGTTATGTATGCATGTGTGTGACAATTCTCCTCGTACGTGCAATCCAAAAAACGCTTACTGATGATAAAATGAGTATTTCAATAAGAGCAAGAAGGGTGGTTCTGAACGAGTATCAACACAACTAGCTTCATTTGGGGTGTCCCCTTTTTCATTTTTCCAAAAATAATTGTTCTAAAGTGGTGATCGATTTCCCTCCTATAAGTTATCGTCTCTATTTTGAGTTTTTGTCTGGATCATCAGGAACTTAATGAGAAGAGTGTTGTATGTAGTTATTATAGGCTCTCTTATACTCAACATGAGAGCTATTGTACTTATTAGTATAAATACTAGACCAATGTGACATGTAGGGGGGAGGGGGGCAAGATTCACCAAATCCGCTCCCATCCATTCACATCCATTTAAAGTGGATGGGATGCGGATTCATTTAATGGATATTTGCCACTAGTAGATTGAATGGAAATGTGACTTCTCAAAATTTCGTATTCTTTGAGACTCAAGTTCCTCTATGAGACCAAAATTTTTAATAGCAGGATGGAGAGGTTCGACTCTCACCAACATTTGACTTGGAGGCTGTTTGAGGAAAATGTAATATTTTCTCGTATAATATATATTATATATTATAGGCTTTAAATCAAGAGATCAAGTTGACTAATATACCCTTATTAGCACGAGAGAATATCAATTATGGCAGGAAATCAACATTAATTCTGCTTCTGCTATTACAAGATCAGGTTCCACATCATATTTAGAATTATTCGCTCAATCCTTAAACTACAGATATATCTAACATAACTTATACTATTTACCTCGTCAAATCGGCCACGTTTTATAGATGATAAAGTGTATAAATTGTAGATATATTTCACTCTCTACAATCTACATGCACGTACAGCATGCAGATGATGCCTGTGACCTTGAACATGAGTAAATGTCAGCCACACGCACACTCTCTAGGATAGTACAGTGTAAACTGTAGACATTAGGATTGTGCATTGTTCTGTGTTTTATCAGAAAGACAGTTGAAAAAGCTCAGTATAGTTAATTGCAACTGATATATCATACAACCAGTCAACCAATGAAGCCCTTAAGAAAATGACATCAACCCAACAGTCACGGGCTTGTTGTGTTAATATGCGTTAACTGTTTATTTTGCCCCTTCAGCAGGGAATTGAAGAACGTGATTTTTGAGGGAAGGATTGAAATTTTCCCAATATTTTTTTGGTATAAATAGTCTGATATTCTGCAGGTTTGATCAACATCATCAAAGGAAAAACACATCTTTATAGCAGATAGTATTTTGATTACATTGGAAATTAAACCATGTCAGTATCAATTGAAGCTTTGGCAATGGCTGGGGCAGATTATCTTGAATGCGAAGTGGATTTGGAAAGCCCTTTTCCTCCACCCCATCTGCTAGCCGATGACGAGGGCGAAGAATTCTGGTGGAAAAAAACGCAGTTCATAAAACCTAGTACAAGTATTCCTGCGACGAGTTACCAGCAGTCCAAGAATGTCTCGTATCAATCTGATACCGTGTTAAATGAAGACAACCTGATCGCGACAATGAATCTTTGTTGCAGAAAAGATGAAGTTGTTAGTAAGTTGCTCCTTAAATTGATCAGTTTCACAGCATCTTTCAAGAAGAAGGAGAAATTTTGGTGCCTGTCAGGAGAAAGGAGAAATTTTGGTGATGAGAAGATGATGGTGTTAACAGTACTTGGATTCATTCAAGGACAAGAAGATACCACATCCTGTTTCTGATCCAGCTTCCTATTGAAAAAAAAGTGTAGTGCAATAATAATTAAATGACATATTTTTCTCTTTTCATTAGTATATTGTATCTATATATACGAAATACGTACTCCATAACAAGTTTAGTTACTCAATGTGTTATTGACCTTACAGTTTTTCACAAAGTGTTGCTTTTCTATATTTGGATTTGGATACTAGTAACATGTAGATTAATCAAAATTATAATTATAAAGTTAGAATTATTAATTATAGAAAAGTGAATAAAATAATATATAATGCGTAGAAGTGAGAAAGAGTATAATCACAAAAAAAGAGAGAAAAGGAAAGAAGGATGGGAGAAAAAACAAGAGGGGAGATTGACCCACAAAATGAAGATTAGAGATAAGGGGATAATCATTATGGATGTCCTAAGAGTGAGAGAGTATTTGAGAAAATTTTGGTCACACGAGTATTAGCAAAATGACAGTTTTAGGTCACATGTTTAATTTCTACCAATTTTCATTCACAACTATTGTTTTAGTACCAATTTTCATCCATATGACTATTATTTTAGTATTAAAATTCATCACGATGGTCACACCTTTGTTTAAGGCATGCTGAAATCTAAAAGTTTCAAGGATATTTTCGTTATTTTCAACTTAAGATCCCAACATGAATAGAGAGATTTAAACCCCTAAGATCGATCCCAATTCGCAGTTCTCATCCTCATCCTACCTTAGTTTGAGGAAGAGAACTGTGAATTGGGATTGATCTTAAGGCCTAAATCCCTTTATTCATACTGAAAGTGAGATTTTAATTGAAAATGACCAAAATATTCTTAATAATTTCATATTTCGGCATGTCTTAAACGAATGGGTGACTAACGTAATGAATTTTGACACAAACAATAGTCGTGGATAAAAATTGATACTAAAACAATAATCGTGGATGAAAATTAGTATGAATTAAACATGTGGATCAAAATTGTCATTTTGCTAATACTCGTGAGACCAAAATTGGTATTTGCTCATTTGAGAAATAAAAAGTCTTTTTTGAAAGCTTAAATAAAGATAGTCTTTAACGAGAAAAATCTAAGTCTTAACCAGAAGGTCTACTGGATACATCGACAATGCAAAGAAATAAATGAAGCATTTAACAAGGCCAAGTCAATGGGTCCAAGGGCATCAATGCGGAGTTGGAAGCTAATTAGTTGGGCCAAGCCCCCACAAGGTTGGACAAAGATAAATACTGATGCATGCGTCAACTCAACCTCAAATAAGGCCGGCTGTGGTGGGGTGGCCAGGAATGAGGAAGGCAAATGGATCAAGGGACAAGGGCTACTCTTATTCAATAGGGGCATGCTCAATCGATGCAGCCGAAGCTTGGGCACTCCTTAAGGGAATCCAGTTAGCAGCTTCTTTAAGGTTGGAAAGGGTCTGTTTTGAAACCGACTCCTTGAACATAGTTAAGGCAATCAATCAGAACGGGACTGTCGACAATGTTACAAGGAACATACTACATGCATGCAGCCGAGAGCTTAACAAAATTGCCATGTGGACAATCTCCTTTGCTCCGAGAGAACAGAACCGTGCCGCAGACTGCCTAGCCAAAGAATTTAATCATTCAAACGGCCTGAAGATTTTCGACACAACGCCGGAGGTCATTAGCCAAATCCTAGAGGAAGACAGAGTTGGGCTACCAGTTTGGAGACAGCTAGATAGTCCCTTATTGTAATTACCGGGTTTCCCCTTCCTTACTTTCCAAAAAAAATAAAGATAGTCTTAGGGTGTGTTTGGTTCGCACATAGGAATCGGAATCGGAATCAGAATCAGAATGGGTATCAAATACTTGGTAATAGTAATGGATTTTGGTGGAAGTATTTAACATGTTTGGTATTAGGGTGGAATGGGATTAATGGTTACTAATACTAGTGCTTGAGAATGAATAAGGGAATGAAACCCTTATTTTATTGGGTATGAATTTTTCAATTGATGGGGTATTCAAAACTCATAGTCGTGTGATAAAAACGGCAACTTATATCGTGCACCAGGGCGCGCATTGCATTGTGCGCCCTGATGCAAAACGACGTCGTTTTACATAATTGTATAAAAAATACACATAATTGTACAAACAAATACACATAATTGTATAAACAAACACACATAACTGTATAAAAAAATACACATAATTGTATGAACAAATACACATAATGATATAAACAAATACACATAATCATTGTGTCAAAAAAAAAAAAAAATACACATAATCACGTCGACTCCCTTCCGCGCCTCCCAAAACGACGTCGTTTTGGGAGGCGCGGGGCGCACAGTGCTGCGGGCGTCATGGTGCAGGGTATAATAATTGGATAAAAACCTATCAACCAAACAACAACAATCACTTTCATACTCATTTCTATGGACAAAACCCACCAACCAAACACACCCTTAGTTTCGGTCTTTCGGAGTGTTTGCAAGGGTGTTCCACACATTGTGCAGGTCTGGCAGAAACTTCATTATGCTACATACTGGCATACTATTGCAATTTGCAACCTAATTTTTCCGACTTTTGTCCAATAGCCATTATTTTTTTTCTACTCACTTGTTGGTTAAAGCATTCATATCTATGGTTTTTTGGAGTTTTTGGAGTTTTTGCAGCTTTTTGCACGTGAAAGAGAGAAAAGGAGAGAGAATGGAAAAAAATGTAATGCAAATGAAGATTTTTTGTAGGACTCACTGTCCCGTCCCACAAAAAGTCAATTTATATGTTTCGCTTCGGATGCGCATGCAGAGCACACAACAGTTGCGCCCTAAAACTTCATAGTTTTAGTTTTTTCGTTTTTCTCCTATTTTATTTTCCCTTTTTCCTTTTTTCTTCTACTCTTTCTTTGATGTCACTTAAAAGAAAAAATTAAAATTCATGATGATGCTCTTAGAACATAGCCTTTCACTTATAAAAACTTTCGTCTTTGAATTGGTTTTTATGATGGCGCTATCTTGCTGACATCCTCGATGACATATTATATTAGCTTTTTAAAGTTGGCTAGTCAAAAGAGATGGATCGCGTTTCCTAGATGGAGTGTATGAATTGTAGATATATTTCACTCTCTACATGCACAGCAGATGATGCCTGTGACCTGACCTTCAACACTAGTATATGGCACACACACTCTAGGATAGTGTAAACTGCAGATCAGACGTCACGACTATATGTTGGGTGGAGACCGGTAAAAGGTTAAGTCCGGCACCAGGTGATTAGGGAGATTGTTAGACGGATGCTGGTATGAGAAAATAAAATTGTTCCTTCGCTACTAGTTATAACTTTTGGTATAACAAACGTTTGATCCTAACAAATGGTATCAGAATCAAGTCACGAGGGTTTCTTAACAGAGTGTAACGTGTGATGTGTCTTTTATCAAAAAAAAAAAAAAAAAAAGGATGAAATTCAGTATAATTCCAACTGATATAATCATATAATTAATGAACCGTATTCCTTAAGAAAAATGACATCAACTCAAAAGTCACGGACTTATTGTGTTAATAGGCGTTAACTGTTTGCCCCTTCAGCAGGGAAGAACGTGAGGATGGAGTTAACAGTAGTACTTCTCTGTAACGTTTTCCTATAATATTAGGATAAGTTATTATAATATTAAGTATCTGATATGACACATCTACATGCATTCTCTAAATCGTCTCGATTAGGGCAATTTCAAAAGCTTCATTACCACTAGAAAGTAGAAATGTTGCTTGCATTGTAGAGTATGTAATTGTTGCATTTGAATTTTAAAATGAGGTCATATATATATCAATACTATAGTAGATGAGTGAAGGAAAACATAAAACAAACATAGATGCTGGCTTTCCATGCTTAGTGTATGGCTTTGCCAGAAGTTTTAATTAATATTTCATTGCTTACTAATAGATTGCGCAATTTAAATTAAAATTATTTTTCTAATAACTAGTAAAACTCACAGCAACTATTTGATGGTAAGATTATAGAAGGCACTAGGTGCTTTATCAAAGATAAATAGCTGCCTAGCACCCTAGCGGAGCACTTAAGTTCCTTAATAAAATCTTTTTTTATTACATTTGATAACAATAAATGAAGTATAACCCAGAGCATAAAATTTAGCTCAAACCAATTACTAAAAGTCGAAGCCTAACAAAGACATTGGCGATGCAAAAATAATAATAATAATCAAGTTTCGACAATACAAAAAAATAAAAAAAATAAAAAAAATCAATTAATTAATTAATTTAAACTTGACCAACTAGTCAGTTAACTCCGCCAAGACGCCAACTACCTAAATAAGCGCCTAAATTAAAATACATATCAACATTTGACCTAAGGGCATCTAAAGCCTATAGGACGCATAAGTTACTAATTTTCGCCTACTAAAAATATATGGGTAACATGAGACCATCTAAAGTCTATAGAACGTCGCCCACTTGTGTAAGAATGTTTCACGAGTTTTAATCTGTATGAGATAGGTCAAATATTTGATTAATGAGTCGAACATATAACATTTGTGTAAGAACGTTTCACGAGTCTCAATCTGGGTGAGATGGGTCAAATATTCGATTGAGACTATAAGACAATCGCACACAAATTTTTATCAAAATTATATAACTATATAAGCAAGTAAACCTCATTTGACAAGAAGAAAATGTATAAGTAAACCTCACGGCTGCTAGCACAAAAAAGCTAGGCCACCCCCGCTTATAATGTAAACAAAATATTTTACTTCATTTGTTGCAGGTAGAACAATGCATCCAGTGAAAGTGGAATCAAATTTTGATGTCATAACAATTTCCAAAAATAAAAACATTCATTTACTCAAAAAAAAAAATTAATTAATTATACTATATTATTAATATACAAGCAAAACCCTTAACTGAATAACTAGCAATCCGGAGAGTTACTGAGGCCCAATCTCTTGTAACAGCCCAAACTTTGATAATAAAATTGGTCAGGGGCCGCGCGAACGCAGGCCCCCTCTACCACAAATTATGACGTAGGCTCCACCTATAAGGTAGACCTTAGGTTAACACCCTTCCAAAGTGCAATGGAAGTCATCAACCTAGGCCATGGGCCTTGTTGATCGCCCATTGACCCCGTCCAGGTAAGTATGTTTTTAATTCACACCCGGCCCAATTTTATAAGCCTTTGCTCAGCTCCACCTTTTGTTTTCCACCGATGTGGGAATCTCTTCAATATGCACAGTGCATTATATTGCTCCTTCTTCTTACGCAGTTTCGCTCTTTTCTTCTTGTATTTTGTTCTTTCCTTTTTCATTGTGAAAGATGGCTCTGCTAGCAATAGTTATGTGAACTAAACATCAGATCAGAAGCCTCATCATGTAAATCAGAAATGTATTATTTCAAACGGAATGAAGAGAATATGCAATGTGGTTTCTTGCCTCTCATCACTATGAGCAGATGGGGTGGAGGTAGAGCGCTTTGGGACTGCAGATTGCATTCAACATAATCTGCCCCCGCCATTGCCAAAGCTTCAATTGATACTGATAATGATGACATTATTAAATTCCTATATATCTATCTGCTACAAGCTGGCTGGTGTGTTTTTCCTTTGATGCATATATGTCGATCAAACCTGAATGGACAAGACTTTATTTATACCAAAAACAAACTGGGAAAGTTCAATTCATCTTAGCTTCTCTCAAATTAAATATCTTGGTTTTCCCTGCCCAAGGGGCAAACTCAGAAACCAGATGGCCGGAATTGGAGATCGAGCCCGCAGTATATATATATATATATATATATAGCTCACAGTAAACGCAAATTAAATGAACACAATATATATATAAGCCCGGCCCGTGAATTGGAGAGCAGTATAGCACACGCACAGTAAAGCAAATTAACATGCCCGTGATGACTGTTGTGTTGGGTTGGATGTCATTTTCTTATATGATTATATCATCAATTGGAAGTACACTAGCTGAATATCAACTTCCTTTCTCATAAAAAGACACACCATAATCCTAATGTCTACACTCATTACTAATACTATCTAGAGGGTTATGGACGATTATCGTCTAAACTCTATGGCCATGTTTGGTAAAATAGTTAAGTTATCAGCCAATTTTGGTTTATTTCATCATAGTAACTGTTTAATTTGGTCCCAAAAAAAAAATTAATATATCTTTTTGTAACTCCAAAATGTTAAAATTCAAAAAGTTGTTTAAAAAACAAAATTTTCAATTAGTTTTTTGAGAAAAGAAATTACACTAAACAGTTATCGGCTAACAGCTAATTTACCAAACATCTTTCTACAATCAACAAATGTTATCAACTAGCCATCCTCTAACCCAATCAGCTAACAGTCATTTATCAAACAGGGCCTATATGTGTGATCGTAGTTAGAATTATAATTGAGTGAAGGCAATATTAAAGCAACTCAAAACATAGTCATTTTAATTATTTATGATAAAATATGAAACACTTTTAATTAGATAAAATAGAACAAATACAAAATACATTATAAATCAAAATACAATGTTCATAACAAATGTAAATAAATCTTTTTTTTTTTTCTTTTGGGGTTCTATTGATAACATTAGTTGATTGTAAAAAGATGTTTGATAAATTAGTTATTAGCTTATAGCTGCTTGGTATAATTTCTTTAATTTTTTCAAAAAGTTAATTGAAAAAATTGTTTTGTGCAACTATTTAAATTTTAACATTTTGAAGTTACAAAAAGCCGAATAACCAAAACTT